AGAGAGAGAGAGTGTGTGTGTGTGTGTGTGTGTGTTTGAGTGTATGAGCTTGTCTTTGTATCTCAGTTCACTCTGTACTGAGGAGATGATGTTCATGTTTTGGAATGTGTGTTTGCTTGTCTGTGCTCTTCAGTGTGTACTGGACTGAGGGGAGACAATGAGCACATTAGAGTTAGAGAGAGAGTGGGAGAGAGAGAGAGTGAGAGAGAGGGAATGTGTGTGTGTGTGTGTTTGTGTGTGTGTGTGTGTGTGGAGAGAGAAGGAGAGATAAAGAGTGTGTGTGTGGATGTGTGTGTGTGTGTGTATGTGTGTCTGAGCGTGAATGGTCATGCATGTCTGAGCACCTGTATGTCGTAGAATGTATGACTGTGCATGCGTGGAAAAGCATAATAACTGTATCGTGATACAGGGAACAAAGAAATGCTGATGTGTGTGTATTTTAAAAATAGGAGTGGGGAAATATGGTAATCTTTTAAGAATCAGGAGAGGAGAAAACTGACAGCCAATAAGAGTTTTTTTTAAGTTTTAGAAAGAGTTTTACAGCACTTGCAACACAGATAGGTCACATCAGTGTCAAAGATTCAAGGTGTTACAGATACAAGAGATAACACACAGAAACCACAAGAACGAGAAAAGATATGAACGATACATGTTTGATGGAAAAGAAGGAGCAAACCATACCAGAGCATCTGCCCCCCACCCCTGGATGTCAAGATAAAGTTCATGATGTGGGAGAAGCAGTAAAGATAAAGTCATCAATCTTTGGTGGGGACCAACTAAAGGGGATCATTGCCCACATAAGAACATAACGAAACATGTCAAGATAAGAAAACAACAAGAAATTCATTCAAATTTATAATTTTTTAATAATGTAACAAATTTGATGAAAGCAGTATCGGGACTTCAGACAACATTGACTTTACAGCACAGCGAGCAAGTGAATTTCCTTTAGTTGCAGTCAGCAAGACAGATACCTGCCTCACCTAGCATCAAGGACACACCAGTCACTACAAAAAAGTCCAATGGCAAACTTTGGTAAGGGATTTAAACAAGAATCATATCACAATAATGCCGGTCCCATAATGTCACAGCATCACAGTATACAGTTGTATTACTTTCAAATATATATATTGCTTAGCAATACCAGGTATATATCTCAACAACATGAGGACTCTTTTTCCAAATAAAAAGTAAAAAGAGATCATGATTAGACCAGAATAAAGTATAAACATGAATCATCATCAGCTGTATTAAATGGAATCTCCAAAAGGAAAATATTTGAAATGTCCTCAAAAAACAAGTCAAAAGTCATAAGAAAATGATATTTTATGAATGTATCTGAATAAAAAAGTTTTGATTTTTTTTTCCTGCGGCTCGCTCTGACCTAAATGTCAGACAGTCAGTTTCTCTCTCTGCCTAGACATCAGGTCTTGCACAGTTTGTCGCATTGTCTCTCTTTTTTGTGTGGTCATAGCAATTGTTCTTTTGTGGAAAAAACAATGCAGAAACTCAAAAGTATATTTGTCATTTAATCATCTCTGATAACAAAAACAGGATCCCCGACAGAGACGTCACCCGACATATCGTTAGACATGTAGTTTCCATAGATTGGGGAATTTCCGTACGGCTCACGACAGCGAAACCTGTCAAAACAAAAGTAAGGATAGTTTCATAACTTACAATATTAATAGTAAACTGCAAAATCTATTTTATAAAACAACCAAATATGGAAAAGCATCAACGATCAGAACAATTATAGAAAAATTGCTTTCTAATAAACACCAGAAAATTTTGATTTAAGTTACACAAAAAATAAAAGAAAAGAGAATGCACAACTTAAATCTTTGGTCAAAAATAAAAGATATGAAAAATGAAATTTAACTTTAAGAAAAAAAAAGAGCAGTGAGCAGAAAAAGATTCCAAACAAGGGCTGGCAAAACTCTAAGATTTAGATCTACCTTTAAAAAGACCTTGCGTAAAGTTTAAAAAATCCACAAAAGAAACAAAGCACACCAATCATATAGTTAACGATGTAACAATTGACCAATGAACAGAAACATTTTCAAAACTATTCGTCACAAAACCTACCAAAGTTGTACTGTACATCATCTCTTCCTACCTCTCTTCCTTTTTCCACCCCCTCTTCTTTTTCCCATCATTGCCCTCATTCCTTCTCTCCTTCTTCTTCTTCTTCTTATTATTATTATTATCATTATTTCCCTTTACTCTTGTTCTTTCTTCTCTTCCATCTCAATTCTCCTTCTTCTACAAAGATACATTACAGTGAAAAACAAGAGAGGAACCAACAATATTCTTTGCTCTGAATGTTCGAAAATGACCTCTACCTCTGAGCTCCCCCCTCCCCCTCATACACACACACACACACACACACACACACACACACACACACACACACACACAGAAGCACACACACACACACACACACAGAAGCACACACACACAAAACACACACACAAAACACACACACACAAATACAAACACACTTACGATCTAAGCAGTTTTAGGGGCTGCATGTCCTTCCTCTTCTGTCCAGTCTTAGGATCAATGGTGGTAATGATACAACTGTCAAAGCCAAGAATAAATAATACATCATGAGGGGAACATAGACATTAAAGAACGAGGTAGAAGTTTATTTTTTTCAAAAATCAAAACACACTTCAGAAGTTTCTCTCTCTGTACGACTTTACTAACCAGAACATTGCCAAAGACATATCAACAGTTCAGTTCAAGAAACTTGTGTGTCACATTTTCATCAAATCGACTTTTTTTGCTTTCCAGGGCCCGCAGAACTTTCTCCATCACAAATTTTTTCGATGTGAAGATCAAACTGTAAATAACACACTGCTGATATCGACATTCATCATCTCACGTTACCTGTAGGCTATTGTGCACACTAGAACTTCTTCGAATCAAGTCATTTGAGGGAGGGTGCTGGATGATTGCGTCTGACCAAATACAAACAGTGTGATGCTGCATTGGGCCTTATGGTTTGTGAATTATGTTTGCGTTTGTGTGCATGTAAAAGTATGTGTGTGTGGTTGTTTGCAAATGAAGATATATAGATCCGTGAGAGATTAACAGATTGCAGAAGAGGGGCGGGTGGGTGGCATGCTCTGAGCAGTGTAGGTTAAATTGTCATGAAGAGCAATTTTACAATTGTTTTGTTTTTTAAGTTTTAGGCTCCTCAGCAACACTCTCATCCTTTCTCTTGCTTTAACACAGTACAAGGTGCATGCATTATTCATCCTTCTATCCATTTATCTATACCGTGTACTTTTTTATGATGGCAGAGAAGAAAAAACTTTAATTGTCTGACAATGGAAGCCAAGTGTCAGATTTTAGTAATAAATAATAATGGATTGCATTTATATAACGCATATCCACTTATGCAATGCTCTATGCGCTTAACATGATACATATTATGGATTTACAAATCAATTTTAAAGGTACATAGTGTTACATACTCGTGCAAACACATATTCACTCACGCACGCACCACACACACATACATACACACATACATACATATGTACATATACACATACGCACATACAAACTCACAACAATCTACAGCTTGGATGGATTCTGTCTAATCGAAATACAATGAAAATAGAAATGCTTTTAGTTTCTTCTTAAAAATTTCTAGATTTTCTGCTTCTCTGATAGTTTGTGGAAGCCTATTCCAAACAAGTGGGGCAAAAAATGTAAAAGAGCGTTGGCCATACGATTTGTAATTTATTTTAGGCTTAACAAGGGTTGTTTTGTCACTTGATGATCTGAGCGTTCTAGGAGGCACATAGGGTGTTAAAAACTGTTTTGGATAGTCCGGTGATAAATCATTTAAGCACTTGTAGCAAGTTAAACAGATTTTATATATAGTAGCCATTGACAAGAAGTCCAGTACTAAGGCTTGACAGGAATTTGTAAGAGATTTGGTATCTCCAATTCAACACTTTTTATGCTTCTAAAAAATCAAGACGAAATAGGAAATGCCAGCAATGGATGTGACCTCAAACAGAAAGTGGATATATGCGCTTGGCCAAATATAAGAACATCAAGCTTAAATTTTCAAATGGTTCCAGCAAGCATGTGCTATGTCTCTGTACATAATTGGTCCAATTCTGATGTAAAAGCAGAGGAAATATTCAAGATCTTTCCAATATTTTGTTTTATTGTTTTCTCCAATTTATCAAAGTATCAAATGCATTTGTCAATCCCCTAATGTGTTTGAGTTATCCGTGCCCAGTTGTACCTGTAAGTATAATTCCTTCACACAAAGTCTCTTTTAAAACACAGCCAAGATGGGTAAAATAACTAGACCAAGCTTTACCCACCATGCTTATCATACTCACCGTCTGCATGGCTCTACTGCATGAAACAGAACATTCTCTCCGATTTTGAGCTCTTTCCAATTATCCTGAAAAGCAGAGATATTCATAACAATCAGTGTTGATAGTAGAATGGAAGAACCAGCAGATACAACAATGCAGGGGTGGGAGGCTGGGGGGAGCAGCTTCCGGATGATGATACAACAGTGACAGAACCTTATTCCTGGAAAGGGGGGGGGGGGGAGGAGGATGGATAAGAGCACCACTTAGCAGATATACACCAACCCACTAGGCTATCTGAGCTACATGCGACATCTAAAAAAATTCTGACACTGTACACATTGCACTGTCGGTAAAAAGCTGGGCATGACTATATCTTAATTCCATCTTTGGAAAAAAATGGATTTTCATGACATGGTGTAACATGATTAAACTCTTGGACATGACATTAGGAATTGCATTGTGGCTGAAATACAGATTGGATAAGGTTGATATTATTTACCGAAATGGTGGAACGTTTGCACTGAAGAAGGCAAACCTCTGAAATTTAGGGTTTCAGAAGCTCCCAACCCCAGCTCCCCCCTTTCCAAATCCCCACACATCTGCTCTAAATAACAAAAAAAAATTGTCCAAAAATCATAAGTGATACAGTGACATTTCACCTACAACCCCCATGCTGTTACAGTATACTACAGGCTGCAAACACTGACAGACCTCGTCAAAAGGCACGCTGTTGTCTACGACAATGCTGGGCCTGAAGTTGACTGAGGCAACAGGTGCGTCCAGCTGCGAGTTGATGTGTCCCAGGGAAGCCGTCGAGGAGATCAGGTACGACGTCAGGTAGGAGAACACAGTCTGTGCGAGAAAGATAAAGTTCTTTATAAGTTGTTTTTTTTAAAAATATGTGTAATATTGTTATCTAGACAGACATTTTTTGTAATTCACAGTTTGAAAGAGGAAGTCAACATGAATTTATCTGACACTTTGGATCTTTATGTCTGTATGTTTCTTAAGTTTTATAAATTATTTCTCAATCTACATAGCTCAAACAACATGAGGAGAAAATCTGATGCAAATATTTTTAAAGATTATTTTCAAACTAAGTTGAAAATCATTACAAGCAGCATTTTGAGAATGAGAAAAGGACATAAAAGTTTGGACAATGTTACAGTACTATGCTATAATTTTTCATGACAAGAGCATAAGAAGCAGAAATATTATTTGAAATGGGCTTGTTAACATAACATTTCGAGGGACAAAAATGTCCATGAAAGCAATTTGAACTGAGACTTGGACAATTTCAAGTTAACCCTCGTCAGCTGTTTAGAGCTCTAGTACTAAGAAAGGATCAGCAACATGAAAGACAAGTAAGCGCAGCTCATTTAAGCATTAATTTAATGAGTGCAATAAACTCTTAACAACAAGTTCAAGAACAGAAATACTTTGGTAAACATTTTCTAAAGCAAACACAACAGCAGCTCAAGGAAAACCTTCTCAGCTAACTTCTATTATTAAAAAAAAAAAGGTTTTTATGGTGCTCACAACTGCATAAGGTCATATGGGCACATAGGACACATTAAACATTTGAAGTTGGTGGGAAATTTTGAATTTTGCTTGGGTGATGGCTGAAGCCTACTCATATTGATTTAGGACCACCAAGGGATCTTTAACATGTGCAACTTGCACACAGGATCTCCGATATTTTTTGCCCTTATCCTAGAAGACTAAGTGTAGAACTTACCTACCATAAGATTAGTGGTGTGGCTGAAAGACAGCTGTAAGAGGGAGCCAAGAAGTTCTCAGCTAACTTCCGAGCTGTCACAGCAAGGGCTTCATATGCAAGCTATACTCCACTTAAATTCTTCTGAATGATAAAAAAAAAAAGATTCACTTCTAAGCCTCACCACATCTCCTTCACGGGCAGTGTTATCCCATTTCCTCTTCCGCTCATACGAGTCCCTTAAACCAAGTTCAGGGCAGGAAAAGAAAATATTGGCAGGACGACCCACAAAGTCAGAGATCCACTTTTCTGCTTCCTCCCCACAGTCAATCATCGGGATGTTCTGCCCCTCAAAACTGAAATTGTAAATGCAGAAAGTTAGTGATCTGCACAGGATATCAAGCCTTCATTGTCTTTCCCTGGGGGAATTTCCATGCTAAAAGAGCTGTTGAGAGTGCTTGACTCTTCTAAATGTTCTAAACAAGAAACCTGAATGACTTAAGGCATTCAAACAGCAAGACTAGAAAAATACAAATTTACATGCATGTTTTGTTCCAGTAGAAAGTTTTTGCTTTCCCTTAAAGTGGCCTACAAAAGGGAAATACGTTTATTACATTATTACACTCTGTTCAGACTCAGGTCTCAAATTTAAGGTACCTGGAAAATCTGAACACTCTACCACACCCAATAATGAACATCCTGAAACCACAGCCTTTGGTAAGTTCCCACAAAGGACATCACATTGACAGGAAATTTCATCCAAATGAAAAACAGCTAGACCTCAATTGGATTCAAACTCAAAGGTCCCTGTCACACGAGCGAGCACATCTTATTTCACATCAACTGCAGTCAACTCACTCCGCCTGCAGGCCCCATTAGCCCTGCTGAGAAGGGCCCAGATAGCACAGGGCAGGACACCCAGGTTCAAATCTGTGTCTGAATCTAAATTATTTATGGTGTCTTTGAGGTTTTCTCTCAATTTTTTTTCCTGACAGAGACAATTAATTTCAAATTTCTAAAAATAACTCACATAAAACTGCCCACAAAGCATAGGCCTACTTGAATACTGTTAAATTATACTACAAAACAAACTTGATAATAAATGGCACATTTGAAGTGCAATAAACATTTCCTTCTCTTAAAAAGCAAGAAGTGCACACACATATTTCAGACATATATAATTCAAGATATAGAAAACCACAACGTTATTTACTTTTTTATTTGAACTTTTGTTCCTTTAACTTTAGGCCTCATCGGCAGATCAAGGTCGCGTGTTTGTGGAGCATGAAGTCGCAGTATGTCTCCTTGAGCGGAGCAGGTAACAGTGGTCAGCGACGGTGCTTCCTTCATGGTGATCACCTGTTTGTTCTTGTCCAGAATCATCCAATGTCTGGTAGGGAAACAACAATAATGTGAAGAGGATAAAGCAGGTGCCAATAAACTCCCAGCTTCTCATACAAAATGAAGCAAAATAGTCGAGCTGCTGATTGTCAGATAAAACACAGGAGAGTATCAAATTTTACTTGGTCCAGCTCATCAGGGCCACAGATACCCCTAGTTTTGTTCTCCTAACAGTAGAACCAGTTTTGTCCTGAGTATAGAAGGGAATATAAAGAAAGTCTATATTGAAAGTGTGTCTGTGGGAGTTAACTAAACCAAGAGTACATGTGTTATTTTGAGTGGGGGTGGGGGTGGGGGTGTTAGAATCAGAGAGAAAAAGACGCAAAGATATGAAAAGAGACAGAGGAGAGAGGGAGAGGAATCGGTAGAGAGAGAGAGAAAAAGAGAAAGGGGAGGGGGGGAGAGAAAGATGAGGAGAGAGAGAGAAAGAGAAAGGGAGAGAGAGAGAGAGAGAGAGAAAGAGAGAGGGAGAGAGAGAGAGAGAAAGAGAAAGGGAGAGATAGAGAGAAAGAGAAAGGGAGAGAGAGAGAGAGAGAGAGAGAGAGAGAGAGAGAGAGAGAGAGAGAGAGAGAGAGAGAGAGAGAGAGAGAGAGAGAGAGAGAGAGAGAGAGAGACTGCAAATGAGAAAGTGGTGGAGACTGACAGAAAGAGAGGGAAAGGAAGAGATTGAAAGAGATGGCAGACATCTGTCAGAACAAAGTGCAGCACAGAACACTTGGAGTATCTTATGTACACTTGATATGGACAGTATCTTTTACTACAGGATGGCATGTGTGTCACAATACAGGCTGTATCTGATATCAAAGGACAGTTGAAAATCTACAAATTTCACCCCAGTGTCTGTCGATTTTAGGTCAATATTTCTATTCACGAGTTGCAAGAAATAGCTAATTTTGCATGCACACCACACATATCATGATATATATACATATATATATATATATATATATATATATATACATTCATATATATCTATATATATATATGTATTATCTATTTGTGTGTATATATAATAATAATATTAATAATAAATCTCCTCAATAGACTCACCGATCAGTCAGACCGTCGCTGGACAGACCCACAGACGTACACATGGCCTTGGTCACGGTCAGGGCTCCACATGACTTGACTGGATAGATGTACAACTCGGACACTGTGCCCACCTAGTCAGCAGACAGAGAGAATGGCAACAGCTCACTATATTATGTCACATGATATGTCATATGATACGTCACATGAGAGGAACACAAATACAGTACTAGTGGAATCCACTTAAACCAAAAAAACTGCTGGACTGGCGAATCTTCTTCAGCTTTGCCGGGTTTTCAGGTTAGAGAGGTTGCTGAAATACAAGAAAATAACTTCATCATCATTGCCTTTCTCACCCTGCACCAGGGTATAGGCGTCGATGGCCTAGTGGTTAGGCTCTCGGACTCACAACCGTAAGGTCGTGGGTTTGAATCCCGTCAAGGGCCCGACGTTGTGTCCTTGGGAAAAGCACTTTACACGAATTTCCTCACTTCACCCAGGTGGGAATGGGTACCCGGCTATAGACAGCGAAAGATCTTGTCAGTTTGTTAGTGTTTGAGCGCTTAATCGTTTCGGAGTGTTCTATGGTCTGCTGGGGTAATGATATAGTGTAAAGCGCATAGAGCCTGCTGTTGAGCGGGGATATGCGCTATACAAATGCGATCTATTATTATTATTATTACTATTATAGGCCAAGGAAAAACACTTTCCACCTTTTTCGATCCTGGACTAGCCTCTTTAAGTTATTTCATGCCTTACTACTTTTTAGTGCAGGTGAAAAGCAAGACAGATAGATAGAAAAAATATAGAGAGAAAGAAAAGAAGCGTGACCTACCAGGTGGCACCCTCCAACCACCCATAAGCCATTGCTGGACTGGACACACTCACAGACTGACACTTGTAGAAGTAAGTGGAAGAAAAAAAGGTGGAGGAAGAGCGGAGGAGGAGAAAGAGGAGGAGAAGGAGGAGGAAAAAGAAAAGGAGAAGGAGGAGGAGCTAGAGAGGAAGGAGACTGAGGAAGAGGAAAAGGAGGAGAAGCTAGGAGGAGGATGAAAAGAAGGACAAAGAAGAAGAGGAGGAGGAGGAGGAGGAGGAGGAGGAGGAGGAGGAGGAGGAGGAGGAGGAGGAGGAGGAGGAGGAAAAGAAGAAGAAGAATGGTTTCTCACACTCACAGCTCATATACACCCAGAGCATCCACAGTGAAGCACTGTGGTATACACAATAGTTGTAAAGCGCAGAGAGCACGCTCTAGAGCATGGATATGCAATAACTAAATGCAATCATTATTGTTATTATTATTAATATTCTTCTTTCTTCTTCCTATTATTATTATTATCGTTATTATTATTATTATTATTATTATTATAATAAAATTATTATAATTATTATTATTATTATTATTATTATTATTATTATTATTATACCCTCCAACACAATATTCTCAAAATCATCCAGTCGACTCCGCTTGTGTTGAACTCGCTTGAGTTGATCTTCGGTTACGTTGATCTTTCTCTCGGGTCCCAGCACACCCCATCTTCTTCACAGTTCCTATAAAGGTTATGATGAACTTCAGAAGAGTTGATCTATTTTTCATTCCCCTTACAACATCAACTCATCTGAAGTCAAATGTCTCCCTCACACACTAAATGATATACTAATATCCGGACCCTTATACTCACTAGAAGTCTTAGTTCCATTTAATTAAATCCCAATCATTAACTTTTTACAGCTGGATCTCTGGGCGGTGGAAGGGTGCTCTGGTGTGATTTGCTCCTTCTTTCCTACCAAACATCTGTCGTTCTGATCTCTCCTCCTTCTTTTTTGTGCTTGTTACTCTCTTGTAACACCTCTTATCTTCAGCACTTATACATTATGACTTTAACGTGTTGCAAGTGCCATAAATCTTTTACTAAAACTAGAAAGCTGTGTCTGAGATTTATACCAGTCCCCCCCCCCCCACTCCCTTCCCTTTATCCCTTCCACACAGACAGAGGTCTGCACTTCTTTCTGACCATCAATATAATATTTATAGAAGCACCAGCTATCCATGTCCACCAGCAGGTGCTGTTTTAGCCGCACTAGCTCTCTGACCGCAACGAATTTATTTATAGAAGCACCAAGCCAAACATGTCCAAGTGCTGTTTTAGCTGCACTCCTCTCTGACCATCAATAATTTATAAATAGAAGCACCAGCCAACCATGTCCTGGTGCTGTTTTAGCCACACTTCTGGAACCTGGAGAAGAATCACAGAAATCGACGTACAGAAAAGAGGGAAGACATGGAAAAACATCAAGAGGCTAGCCCAGGATAGAGAAAGGTGGAAGGTGTTTGTCCGTGGCCTATACCCTGGTGCAGGGTGACAAAGGCGATGATGATGATGATGATGATGATGATGATGATGATGATGATGATGATGATGATCTCGACCCTGCTAATACACCGACCTGTACAAACCGTTGTTTCCGGGCCCTGCTGACAAACAACAAGCCCACGGCCTTGACCAGAGTTCCCAGCACCACGGCAGCCAATATGTCCGCCCCCGTGTCCTCTAGCTCAAAGATGTAGCTCAGCATCGTTGCAACTTCTGGAACATTAATATTTGACAAGAAAAAAATGTATTAGTGTGAATTTAAAGAAACCAAAATTATGCAGTTTACATCCTACTATCAGCCTACTATATGTAACATGAGCTAACAATATTATCATTTTGGTATCAAATTCTAAAGCCACCACGATTTTAGTTTTAGTAAGAGTTTTACGGCACTTGCAACTCAATAAGGTCATATAAGTGCCGAAGATTAGAGGTGTTACAAGAGAGTATAACAAACACAAAAAAGAAAGGGGGAGATAAAGTAGATAGAAGTTTGATAGGGAAAGAAAAGCAATACCACACCAGAGCACCCGCCAACCACCCACGAACATAATTTGACAAAGAAAAACTGTATTAATAAGAATATAAAGAAAACAAAATGTAATTTACATCCTAGATCTACTTATATCAGCCTACTTTACTATATATATATATATATATATATATATATATATATATATATATATATATATATATATATATATAACATAAGCTAACAATCTTATTTTGTATCAATTTCTAAAATCATCAAGACTTACCAACAACAAAGGCTATGACTAAACGAGAATTTAAAGAAAACAAAATGTTGTTTACATCCTACTAGACCTCTATCAGCCTATAACATGAGCTGACAATCTTAAAATGTATCACATTCTAATCCCATTCTAAAGGCATCAAGATTTACCAATAACGACAAATACAATAACATCATACTCTGCGCACAAACGCGCCCACACACCAAAGTTATAACTATGATTTAGAAAGAACTACACAACAGCTCTGCACAACAGCAATGACGTGAGCAGTCATGCAGCTCCGACTGCTGGCAGACAAGAACTCGTGTAAACAGTAAAGTTGTTAACCGCTGACCGCTGACATGCCATGCCGTGTATAATTATTCTATAGGAAGAGGTGGGCCAAGTCCGGATCCGGATAATCGGGTAATCCTCGAAACATTATCCGACTCATAGATATCTTTCCTGACTCGTTTGTCGGAGTGCGTGCACCCATTTGTTGAAGGGATGCTTCTGACCCATTCCCCGAAACGGTTCATATATCACATTTAACTGCTGAAAAGGTGCACTAACATTATTATCCGGATTTTGCTAAAGCGACTCATTTACAACATAAATTGTTATATTGTATATATAGGCCTTGGCTGGTTCTTGTTTTCACACAAGCCTGCAACCGTCGTTGATTCTAGCCAGTGATTACAGCCCGTAGAACACCAGCAAACAAGGCCTAAAAAGTTCCCTTCTTTCGAACGTAAGCCAGAGAAACGTTTATAAGATGATACGGTTGTGACTTGCTTAGAATCCAAAAAACCTTATCATACGTTATAGCAGAGAGCTCCTCTTGTCCAAAGTCTAGATAGACTCTCCGCCGGTTGTGCTGATTATTATAATCAGGACCTTTTGGTATGACTTAGGAGCGTGAAACACGGGGAACGATACTCTGGATCGGCCCCTGCTGGAAATGACGTTAGTATACGGCAATCGATACTGG